AGTTTTGTGGACAGACGGACTGACGGACTGACAGACGGATGGACAGACGGACTGAGGGTAAACCTTAAGTCCCCTCCGGTAAATCGATAGGGGGACTAAAACATAAGAGTTCAATCAAAGCAATTATAAAAGCAGGGCAATATTTACATAATTAAGAATTACACATACACATATAGGGATATCCATGATATTCTTTTGTGAAACGATTATCACGGTAAAGTGATCTATAGTTTCCGATAAAGTATTACTGTAATAATAATTACAACAAGGACTGTCATGCAAAAGTCACGAATCCCCCTGAAAAAAGTTTTGTAAGTATTTCAGAAAGGTATTATGAAAAGGAAAGAGAAAAAAGTAACTATTTTCTTAAAACTGCTCTTATAAAATGAAGGGCTATTCTAAGCATTTTACCACATTGACCCTGGAGGTAGGGACACAGGTCTTAGACGACAGGTTGTCTTGATGTAGTAGACATTTATGACACTTTATATTTTATTAGTTCAATGCATGACAATGATACAGGCCGGATACGGATGTGTATTAAGTCTTATTGTGGGAATGAGTACATTCAAACTTATAATGAGATCGACCAAGAGGGTCGTGGGTTTAAAACGCGACACTTTGTCTTGACGTGGTAGACATATATCCTAGGTTAATTAAAAATCCTTCCACGCATGACAATATTACAATTACGGACACGAATGTGTGTACCTTTATACTGTAATTATGAGAATGTGAACCTTCAAACTGAAGGTGTGATTTTGATCTTTCAGGTAGGGTCAGGGGTCTTTGAGGCAACATATCACCATGATATGATAGACATTTGTCACAGTACAGTCCGGACACAAATTGTGTGTAAGTATATGACGCACACACAAACAGACAGATATACCGACAGTCAGGCGGACGGTGAAATTATAATAAAGGGCATAAAAAATTGATTTTTCCCAAATAATGGAATGTTATTTTGACATTAAAGTCGGAAGAACAAAGAGAGTGTTTTAACCATTTAGTTACGACTTACCTTCCGCACATGCCTCGCCTTTCCATCCTGCAAGGCAACCAGGTGTCTGACATTTCCCTGTCACTTGATCACATGTTTCATTGTCTGAACAGTGACAACTATGCAAACATCCTGATCCAAAGGAACCTAGATCACACTCTTTATAAAAAAAAAACACATTTCCTATCATATTCGTGAAATAATGATTTCTTTTAGAATGTGTCGAATAGTATTAACGAGGACATGTAAGTATTTTCAGTAAAATATTTAAAAACAGGACAGAGACAGCTAACTCTAAAGTATAATCTATGTAATAGTTTTGCCGCAATAAAGTTATTATTTCCCGTGAGTAAATATAATCAATATTTTCTTAGATACGACGGAATTATTTACCAATTTCATGTACCGTTAAAAGTTATTCTACAAATAATATTATCATGATAAGGTGTTGAATTCGTGTAATATTACAACTGACATAGTAAATCACATGCAGAGACAACATATCACCATGATATGATAGACATTTGTCACAGTACAGTCCGGACACAAATTGTGTATAAGTATATGACGCACACACAAACAGACAGATATACTGACAGTCAGGCGGACGGTGCAATTGTAATAAAGGGCATAAAATAAATTGATTTTTCCCAAATAATGGAATGTTATTTTGAGAAAGTGTTTTAACCATTTAGTTACGGCTTACCTTCCGCACATGCTTCGCCTTTCCATCCTGCAAGACAACCAGGTGTCTGACATTTCCCTGTCACTTGATAACATGAGTAATTGTCTGAACAGTGACAACTATGCAAACATCCTGATCCAAAGGAACCTAGATCACACTCTTTATAAAAAAAAACACATTTCCTATCATATTTGTGAAATAATGATTTCTTTTAGGATGTGTCGAATAGTATTAACGAGGACATGTAAGTATTTTCAGTAAAATATTTAAAAACAGGACAGGGACAGCTAACTCTAAAGTATAATCTATGTAATAGTTTTGCCGCAATAAAGTTATTATTTCCCATGAGTAAATATAATCAATATCTTCTTAGATGCGACGGAATTAACTACCAATTTCAAGTACCTTTAAAAGTTATGCTATAAATTATATTATCATGATAAGGTGTTGAATTCGTGTAATATTACAACTGACATAGTAAATCACATGCCTTTCCATTAATACAAATTATAAATAAAAAATTAGTAAAGTAGCATTTTGTCAAATATCTATTTGCCAACCAAGAATGATAGATTTTCATATGTGTTATTATTACATTATTACATTACATAATTACACACTGAATTATATTTTGTTTGGTTTTACCTTTCTCATATAACTTGAATTCACATAAGGTCAACACGGTCTGGTTCAATTCTACTATGAAGTATTGTGCAATTATTGTGTCTAAGTGTTTCGTAAAACTCCGTGTTCTTTTATCCATTAATGGAACTTTGTAAATCTCCATTTTATTTGAAGCTATTCCTGGCTTCATTGACACGTTGCCAGCATAAATTGTAGCATCTTGTAATTGCCAGTTAGAATCTGCAACAAAAAGGAAAACAAATAGATTTGTAACAAACGTTTTAAAAACGAATAAACGTCGTCACTTGTTTAATAAGCTAACTTGCCTAATGATTGACCTTAGATTATACATGTATTTCTACTGTCTTATATGCCTAAAAATTAAATTGTCTATTATTCAATCCGACCTGTTTAACAAACCATAACCTTTATTATAATTTGATTTCAAATAATTTTTGAAGATACTTATATCGTAATATCCGTTCGTTTCATTTCCTTGTTAGGTTATTACTTTTTAAAACTAATTACATTACGAGTTTTTTTTTAATGAAATTCGGAAAACACTTTCTCCGTAAAGAATATGTTATTAAAAGAAGATGAAAATCTAAATACAAAACTTCATGTAGTTAAACAATTTATATAATCTTACTTTCTGCACGTCCAAATATCTTCAAAGAACCTATTAAGTATTTTTGTCCAAGATCAATTTGCCACCATGAAGGAAAGTCTCCGTTTGTAACACTGCAGCATTTACAATCATCTATTGAATAATTGTGCTCTCCGTCTATTGCTTTACTAGAGTTAAAATCTTGTGGATCATTATATGGAGAAAATATACTGGATTGGCTTGTTGTTACGTTTGCTCTGATACGTTCAATAAGATTGAATTCTGAAACGATTAAATTGAAACTTCTTTCATCGCAAAAACAAATGTCCGGCGAGTGACACATATGAGCGTGATGAAAACCAGTATAGAACCATATTGTCTATGTTAACAATATGCATCATGTCAAAATAAAAAACAACAAAAACTGTTGGGAATATAAAAGAGACAAGCCATTTAACTCAGTAGGCCGGTGAAGACAAGAATCACGGTTGTCCTGTTCAACAAGATCCTATGTAAATATGTTTTGTTCGAGGTTAAGATTGGTTCAATAATGATAAATTCTAAACCATAAAAACTGAATTTAGCAACATATTTGAACTCAATGTGAGAACTGAAGCCTCAAAGAATCAGACGACTGCTCTAGGAAACTTGCCTTAATGTTTATATCAAGATTCCACGACTAAGCTATCTGTTCAGGTGTTTCCTCATGCTCAGACTTTTAACCGTGATGCAAAACAATTCTTAGAACTACATAAAGCTAATTTTATTTGCAATTTTTACATATGATAAGTTTTGTTGACATAGACAATGTGGTTCTATAATGGATTTCATCATGCTTACCGAACACCTGTGATCACAAATGGAATATCAATACAATCAAAATTTAACATCTTTAACAGTGTAAACTTAAATCTTATATTACCTGCTGGTAGCCATGAAAACAGTTTAATTATAACAGTTTGTTAAGACTAAATGTAACAATGAATGCCTGACATTAATAATAAAGCCAGAGGCTCTATAATTACCTATGTTGTATATTCAACTAAATAAGGAACCTTTGACACAAATAAAACTAAATACTAGAATTTTCTTTCTTACTTTCTATTGGGGTGTAAACATACAGCTTAGATAGTGATATACTGGGAGAATTTTTCGTTTGTCAGATTATTTATTTGCAACAATTGTAGAGAAAGAAATTATAGGCATATCTTTCAAGTGTTGGAAATCGAGAAAACTTACAAATGACCATGAACCAGTTCTTAAAATACAGTAAATATGTGCAGCCAGAATTTTTTAAATCTTTAAATACATTGGATTAAACATATGTCAGTAAGATTTCTAGAAAGTTGAGGAAAGTTGGACACACAAAGTTACAAATTTATTTTTTAGCTGACATCATTTCCGTGTGTTAATTTTAGTATCTCACCATGCAAATTAAACGGTTCTGTAATCAAAGACAGAAAAATGAAAACAAATGAAGAACAAACTATTTGAATGTGACTTTTGGGACTTTAATAGAGTATATTGAAATTGTACAGTGGTCGAATATGAACTGACAAAATGCATGACATCGTCTAAAGATACTTTCATGTTGGATTAAAATACTGTATTCTATATTTTATGAAATTCATTTGTATTGTAAGATATTTGTATTGTTATGTGATAATGAATATTTATTTTATTTTATAATAAGTTTTATTCTTTATAGAATATGTTTAATATAGTTTTACAATAATCAAGTCCTTTATTTTATAGTGTTTTCGGTATTTTCCCTTAAAAAATAGACCACATTCATTGTAGTGTTAAAGTATGTTCCATAACAAAGTCTGGTATGTAAATATTTATCTATTTGAGTTTTTTTTATTGTATTGTAATTGAATAGTTTTGGGATTATTATTTTGACATGTTTTATTTAAGGATAAATGTACGTCGAGTCCGGTTAGAGGTCGCACCTATGTATATATTCTATACATTTTATGTTTAGGAATGTTACTTGCAGGAACTTAATTCTTAGCAACATGATACTTATAGATACGGACTATTTGCGGACTTTGTATATATTCTTTGTAATAATAGGGCCCGTAAGTCTCGTTTACTTTCACTTTCGATTTACCACTTCCGGGTACATCGGCAGACTTATTTACCGTTACGCATATAGGTAACCCGAAGAACTCGAGAGATATAGAAGTTAAATTTGTTTCGGTCCGCTTCAAATTTGAAGGAATGGAAAACACTGGTCAAAAAATGCAGGTAGGTCAATTATCTGACAGAAAAACGAGGGATTTATAAAGTTAAATAAAACTAGTTTATTTTCGGATAGTGACAATTTTTTTCGGATGTTTTGTCAAGGTAGTGAATTCTAGTTGTTTAGCTTTTAGTATTGTTTTAAAACTACTGATGTGAGAAATTTATTCAAACCATTTTAACTTATTGAAATAAACAATTGAGAAACACTTTAATTCTAGTGTTTATAAAAGTTATACAAAATTCGGACATTGAACAGTAATTCGGATATTTCATCCCTTCCATTTTATCAAGGTTTCAATTACTTACATTAGTATAATAAACCCAGGTCCCAAGTAAGAGTTTTGATTATTAAATAATTAGATGGATAGATCATAGATGTATGCAAAGTTTAATGGTATTGTTCCATTTCTAACTATGGAGAATAGTATCATTTTAGGCACTAACAGTAAACACTTATTTTTTTATTCTCTTCCTTTTTCAATTATATATACATGTTAATATGGTACCTAGCAAATTATGATGGAATTAAAAAAATATAATATTTGAATAAACCATTTCAGATGTGTAGACAGGGAGGTATATGACAAGTACATGTATAGAATATACAGTTCTTCACTATGGACCATTAATCAAATGTTTGCACTGCCTATGATCCTGAAATATCTATACATCAAAGGTAAATACATGTAAAATAATTGATTATTTTTTAGTTGAGATCAGAAAGATAAACAATTATCAAAATATTTTAATATTTTTTGGATTTCACTGCATAATAATTGATAAGTAAATAAAACATGAAAAACAGTCATGTTTCACATTGAAGAAGATCAAATTTTTTGACTGTTATATATTACATGTATGTGTTGTTGTTTATCTTTAATGTTTATTTACTTCAAATATGAAATTTTCTGTCAATCATGTCAAGCTTATTAAGTTTAATGTAAATATCATTTCTAGTGTTTTACTCAGTGAAATATATTCAGGTCTAACATGTTTTCATTCTGCAGATAAAAAGAAAAAAGATGAAGGGACTTTGTCCATGAAGACCTTTATTGCAACTACCATCTTCCAGTTCCTTAATTTGAGAATGATCTCAGAGAACACACAGTTACATTGAAATATTAGTTTAATATAAGCCACTGAGAATAGTCAAATGTACTTTCCTGAAGAAGATGAATGACATGCAGCACAAAAATCTTGATGTAAAAGAGTTTGATTTTATGGTATTTGACACTATGATTCCATAATGTAGTTATCTTGTTAATGTCACAGTGATAGAAACAGAGTAAAATATCCACATTTCATTGCAGTTTTAAGTATTAAAACTAGATGTTCTATAAATACCAAAGTAGAAAACACATCAGAGATAAGGATTTTCATGGAATCACAGTATAGTCATATTTCATTATGGACATTAAATGATAATGAAGTAAAGATGAAAAAGAGATAGCAAAACTATTATATATCATCTACTACTAATATTGTGAGGTAATCATTGATAAGCTCACAAATTTGCATTCAAAGCTTTGATATCAAGCTGACCATTTTTCAACTAGAATATGTTTTATAACTCTATGATAATTTGTTATTGTTATTTATGGTAATTTTCAAACTCTTTACATTTGTAAAAGGAAACATTCTTATTCTTGTATAAGTAAACTTTCACAATGTAAAGGTACATTGTCCAAATAACTAATAATAATTTCAAGTGCTTTCCTGAAGTTTTTCTTCCACTGGAATATCAGTGTGATATATTTGCAAAGCAGTGCACTATAAATTGTGTAAAAATAAAAGTTTATCAAACTTATGAACTGTTTTTGTTTTGGTTCTACTATTTGGCATATATTTATAGCAGTGCTTGATCATAATGGTTCATCTGCAAAATAAGTGTCACTGTGTACTTTAAGCAATGGTTAGATTGCTTGAATATACAAGCATTGACTATAGTAAATACTATGCATGTCATTTGAATTTTGTCTGTCCTGAAATCGAAACAGACACTATCTAAATGATACTGATGAAAAGTTCTTGACAGCTCTTCAATGACTACATTTACACATGGACAAAAGTTAAAAGCATTCATTGTGTGTTTTTTTTAAAAAAAAAACATTGACAATTTTGAAACATCCCAATGGGTATATTAATGTACCAGTGATGTAATTGTTTTGTATCAAGTGCAAACCCTAAGTGTTGCTTGTTTTGTATAGATGATTCACTTTTGGTCAAATTTCAACAGGTTCAATACATTATAAAACAGGTAATTTGAAACACAAAGAAGTATATGGTATGTAATAACTGTCCCTCTGTCACTAAAATCTTTCAAGGAATGCAGAATTGCAAGTCTTCTCCAATTTTGTGATTAAGAGACAGACTAGTCTTGGGCTTTCAAGGGCTAGCAAGCTACAATGTAGTGTTTTGCTACAGAATACTCAACACAGATGAATTGCATTAATATTGTTTACTCTGGTATTACTACCTGTCATGTACAATGCAAATCATGGCTTTTCTAAGAGCAGTGACAGGCTATTACTGAAAGGAAATTTACACATCTTGCCTCAGACACAAGTTTTTCTTTGAGATGATTTTTATGAAATTTAAATGATGGTTATAGATTACATTACTTTTACAATTGCAGTGATCATGGTGATAGTATGAAATGAAACTCAATCAAGATAGAAACATTTTAATGCAGATCATTTATCTTTTTACCATTCTTGTCACCTTATGAGTCTGTTTAAAACAATTTTATCTTAACTGTTTTGAAACTACATGATGCTTGGTTGAAACTGTTTTGGACAGCCATTTGCAGAAGATAAATTATCTTTGAATAATTAAGTTAATACAAAGTTACAAATGACAGGTTATTTATTTGTAACAAAGACAGGTTATTTATTTGTAACAAAGACAGATATTTTGTTTAACATTTTTACACTGACATATATCTTTGAAGAGTCTTCAACCTTAGTTTTTATTAGAATACAAACATTCAGTCACACAGTTTACACAAGACATGGAGCTTTAAGAAGCTTTAATTCAGTCAAAATATGTAATGGACTGCCATGTCTCTACCACTTTGTACTCCAAGACTGTGTATGGTCATTTCCTTTTAACTATGTCAGGTGGTATCACTATTTGGTTTCTAATCTGATGGTGAACACTCCAAAATAAATCAAGAGCCATGCCAAGTACTCAATATCCAACCATGAAATCACATACCTGCATATTAAGAAAATTTATCATGAGTTAAAAGCAATTATAATTGGTCAATTCAATCATTTTCATATTGTCATGAATAGAAAATAATGTTGAAAAGGAAGAAACACTTCTTGGTGTCCTATTTTTGTAGATTTGCTTTGACAACTGATCTTTAAAAAATTGTGATAGTGACTTAGTTCTTTTAACCATTTACTGAACATGATTTAACTAAAAAATATGACACACTTACTTGAGAAAATACTTTAATCAGTATTTAACATGAATTAACTACATATGCCATACTGTTTGTTTATTTAGCTACACTGTAATTATTTACAAAAACGAGAACATTATCTTATACAAGAATATTTATTTTTCATTAATGTAGTTGAAGTAGCTTTAAGTATATATTTCTTACCAAAACGATTTTACAGCAGAGCATGCATGTGTATTTACATCGGATACTGACGTCTTTCATCTCACCACTTTCCTCAGTCTAAATATCTACACGAGCAAAATATTTCATTAAATTTTATGACAATTTAAATTGGTAATATATACAGCTTGACTGTTTATGCTTTATAAAGATAATAATAATAATAAATAAAATTTTCAGTTAGAAGAAAATATATTCAACTAAAACACACTTATAATCATATTGAAACGTTTTATCCGAAATATGCGCTGTCCGAAATTTCTAAACATTATATACTTCTGAGAGATAATCAGGTAGCGCTATAGAAAACTGATGAAATCAAATTCACCAGTCTGAAGTCAGATGCGAATGATGTTGTATCAAATAACAAATTTATTAGATTTACATGAACATGAAAAATATTACAACATTTATTGCGATAAACTGAATTCGAAATGACAAACCCACCTGAAGATTATACGAAGTTGTCTTTCATTGATACTTGTTCACAAGATGAAGCCATTTGCATTTCGTTACAAAACAAAACACTCTGCCAATTTCTACATATCCTTTGCTTTTCCGTGTAAGTTTTACTTTCCCATCGGCATACAAGTATTACCCAATATAGATAAGCAATGTTGTTGATATTTGTTTGTACCCGGAAGTGCAAAATATCGTGAAATCTCGCAAGTCACATGACGAGACTTACATACCCTATTATATTTATCTAAATTAACATTAACCTGCTGGAACTGAAAGTGGCATTTGACACTGTTACAGAATCAGACAGCCGACACTTCTGTGTAGACTGTCAAGTCTATATATGTTATCAGCTCATTTTAGGTTCTGTATTTCAAAATCCCTTAAAGTGTAAATTGACTGTTTACCGTGTGATAGAATTTTTAGATTTTAGCATATCATATTTAAACGTTGTAAGGGAAACGAAACGAAAGTTGCGATCACGTTTACAATTATCTGCCTAATTTAAGGGTAGGAAGGTAAAGGATAACTACTTTTAGCTATTCCAATCATGTTAGCTTCACAGCGCCTTCTTAACATATTCTAAAATTTTTGCAAAGCTAAGATAAATTTTCTGAAACAATTTGATTAGTTTGGTTGTTTCTGAACATCGTAGATATTTCGTATGCAGAAGTAAATAGATATTTGATCGCAACTGGTGATTTGAAAAGGGAAACATGCTTGCCAATCAATATAATTAAAATGTCGTATTTAAATCATTTAACTTGTCATTTTTGTTAGAAGTGTTGTCAATATGAATCAAATCTAGATCTATATATAGGCAGATGGATGGATGAATGGATAACAAAGTCATGACAATCTATCCAAAATTCAATAGTCAGACCTTGACAGTTATAAATCATACCCTTAAAGAAATAACAAAGTTAAGACAATATAAGAAGAATACCATCGTTTTCTGTCAAGTGCATTTAAAAACAATGCCCGGGTAATCGGCCAAATGCTTTGTAATGAGCCACCAGTGCTTATTGACATTCGTGATTATATTCCTGAACATTTAAACCTGAACAGTACCTTAGTCTACAACGGTGCACTCAAAATTGACACTTATTTTATGATTATAATGCTGTTGTTAATACGGCCAACAGAGCTGTTTTCAGTGCCTTCAATCAAGAAACAATCTTAATATGAATTCAACACTATGATATATATTTATAATGACATAAAATAAACTTCATTTATATCTACTTTTCACAACAACTGTAAACAAAAGTTTGATGACTTTTTTGATAAGACTAGGAATAACTGAAAATATTGCATTAAATTTAATAAGCATCGCAAAAAGAAGGGAAGGAGAATTGTCTATTTCCAAAATCCACATGCAAAGAACAACAGTCTAGTTTATAACTAAGCATCGACCTGACACAAAAAAGAACTACATCATGCCAGTACAATCACGATTAAAATCGTTATTAGTATTGGTATAAAACAATTATACTATTAGATATGTTAGTCTAATTTTTATTATATACTTATAAATGAAATATTGAGAAATACTGAAGAAATAAAATACGTATTTTTATTTTCCGTATTTTTACTTCAGTGAAAACGTTTTCCATATTTTCACCAGTGTCTTGTCTTACTATTTTCTTCTAAATTCAGCTAATATACAACGTTTAAGAGGAAATCTTTGAAATTATAATGTTTAAAATACGAAAATGTATATAAGAAACAGAAAATTCAAGTTTTTACTCTAAATTCAAGATTTGTCATATTTCACACCACTCGATGAAAATAAATCATGTATTTATAGGAAAAAACTTGAATATCCTCAATATAATTAATTTTATGCTCTTGTAGAAAATGTTTAATTTTGAGTTATATGACACATATGTTTTTTGTATGTAACATAATGTAACATAATGCATTGTGTCGAAAATGAAATTACAAGACCATTACTTTTACGACTAAAGTTAAAAATAATGACAATCCATCGAATAATGAGTAAATTATATTTGCATTTTAGTAAAGAACATAGTGCGTTGTAACAAAAGTGGAGGTTCAAGACAATTGCTACTATTTCCTGATGTCAAGATCGAAGGTTATTTTTTACAA